GGAGAGGGGCGCGCGAGGAGCCAGCATCCCCCTTACAGCTCCGCACAAACACTCCCCGCGGGTTCTTCTGACTTGTGAAGGGCGACTCGATCCCCGCGAGCACGAGACGAGCTCCGAGTCCTCCTCTGTCAGCCGGTGCACTGTTCGAGTCCAGCTGCCGCTCCGTGTGTGGCAGCCTCCTCTGGGCCGCCCCCTCTTTTATAGGCCGCTCCTGACAGCGCGAGGAGGGGGCGGCCGGGTGCGAGCGTCTTATGGAAACCACTGTCCTTTGGTATACAAAGGCAGGAAGCGGATACTTGTCGCCCGCCGCAGAAAGGGCGAGCGAACGTGTCTCATCTTCTGAACCACTGTGTCATTTTAAACTGCGCCTGCAGCTGGTGTGGTAGTAGCCGAGACTGATCCCCAAAACAAATTCTGAGCGTTAGCAGATTTCACTTTGTTTAAAATACAGTTAACTAGTCTGTTAGCCAAATATCTCACAAGCTACTGAATGAATGAAAATGTAAGTTTTAGGAACTATTTCTTGTGCTCTGCCTCTAATAGACTTTTAGAACAATTCAAGTAAGACTGGATGTGTCCCCAACAGGAGACAACAGTGTGCAAATGTTGCACTGACTCGGTGTGGAACTCATCCATCATCCGTTCTTCAAGCACTTCTCCTGGTGCAACATGTTGGTTTAAACGTGTGCAATAACTGCTGGAGCAAAACATGTCAGGAGTATTTATGAAAACATTCAGTAGATTTATATCTACAGCTGATTCACTTTCAGAGTCAAGCAATTCAAGATGGCCGCCACAACTAGCCAACACTCAGATGTTTGTATCTCTGTTAGTGCAGCAGCTGAGCATGTGCATAATGTTACTTTCAAGGTTTGACCACAACGCCATCATTTCTCCACGAAAGTTTAAAGTTGTGCTAAAGTGGCGGGTGATATGCATTCCTTCAATAAACTCTAGGTTTTTATTACAACCGTGTGGTTTTAACTGTTGGAAATCATAAATTCCTCATATCAGGGTCAGTGGTGTAGTCTGTTTTTGAATACTGCGGTCAAGTTAGTTTTACTGTAAAACAACTTTACTGCGGTCAGTCCATATACTGGGATTAGAAACCAAAGTACACCAGTTAGTACAATGTAATCATCAAAGTATTTAGATTTTTATTGAACATTTCCAAATGCCTCTGATGCTTATATTTGAATGAATGAACAACAGTACAACAGTTGAGTTTGTATTAAAAACATGTTACAGAATTTATAAAACAGTATCAAAGCAAAACATGTTCAAGTATTAAGTGGTAAGTACAGAAGTATTAATTACACAATAATTCGCTGGATAAGCGAATGTAATAAACAAGCTCTGCATGCCGATCGATTGTTAGCGAAGCGTTTAACTGCTGTTTAACACATCAATGACACATGTCTAATCATATGGCATGGATCATTGGGCACGTTTATGTGGGTACACTGAACTTCTTAACTTTTAGTGGGTATACTCCGTGTACTTGAGTATCACATCGACTACACTACTGGGAACATTCATAAACATTTTGTCGTGGTTTGCTCCTGTGGCGGCACGGTGGGGCAGTTGGTAGAGCTGTAGCCTCTCAGCGAGAAGGTCTTTGGTTCAAATCCCAGCTGGGGACCTTTCTGGGTGGAGTTTGCATGTTCTGTCCGTGCATGCGTGGGTTTGCTCCGGGTGCTCCGGTTTCAGACCAAAAACATGCATGTTAGGTTGATTGGTAACTCTCGAGTGTCCCTGTGATGGACTGGAGACGTGTCCAGGTGTCCCTGTGATGGACTGGAGACGTGTCCAGGTGTCCCTGTGATGGACTGGAGACGTGTCCAGGTGTCCCCCACCTCTCGCACAGTGATGGCTGGACATGGGCACCAGTGACCCCTAAAGGAAGAAGCGGGTAAAGGACGGATGGTTGGCTCTTCTCAGGTAACTGCGGTCTTTTTGCACACAATCCTTTTGGTAAAAGTTTTGGTGTGAACCTGCACAAACTGCTCAAGCGTGTGCTTGGTGCTCAGATCCTCCCTGTGACAGAAGTCGTGCTCCCGTGGAGCCCGAGTGAACCCACAGGTCATGTACAGTCAGGAATGTGCTCCGAGCTGCTGCAGCCCAACAGGAACACATGAAAATACTTCCGGCCACATTTGTCACGAATCTTCTGTCGGATCATTTAAAAATGGCTGCACTGAAAACATCATTATTGCCGCACTGCTGCCAGGCGAGAGATAATGTTTTTACCATGTGTGTTTGTGTCTGTTAGTGAAATATTTCACACACCAGATGAATTCAAATGAAACGTGCAGGAGGCAATCTTTGGATTTACATGTACGGAATAACGTTTGGAGCAGCTTGATTTAAGAAGAGCCCACTGATCCACGGCTCTGACCCAGTCCAATGTTCCTGCGCTGGTGGTGTCTGCTGTTAGCATAATATCTGATGAATTTTAATCCAACTTTCAGGAAAACACTTTTGAATATAGCCCCACAACAGATTAACTTTAGGAACCAAACCAGTTCAGGATGGCCAGTACGACCACCTGACCTTCGATACAAAACTGTTTTATTGAGTCACGTGTTGAGGTTGACTGGTAGTAGCTGAGAGTCATCAGCGACACACAGTCTGAGCCTGACAGCTTGTAGGGAATGTCTCAAGGTTTGACCAAAACACGTCAAGGCGGCGGGCGATATGCAACTTTCAATGGACGCTCTTTGCGCATGCGCGTGCTGAAGCTCAGCCTCAGCAGTTTAAAGGTTTGGTCGCGCGCAGCTGCTTTCAGAACATCAGCAGCAGAAATCACTGATTTGGGAACTGTCCCCATCAAACTTACAAGCCAGGGGGAGTGCGAGTGTGTGCGTGTGTGTGCGTGGCACCAACACAATAACAGTCTTGATAGATTTATTTTTAAACGTTGCGCAACAAAAAGTGCGGTTTGCGCCAGATGTGCAGGTGCACGTGTGAGCGCCAGGTGTTGTTTTATTCGTGCATGTGTCCGTGGGGGGTCCACATTCAGCGGGGTGGGAGGATTCACGCGGACCCCCAGCTCTCAGCTCACTGGGACCCATGATGAGCTGTTTGTTGTCCATGACGGGCGCGCCGCGCCGCGCGCACCTTCATGCGCCAGACTGGAGCAGCGGGGTGGTCCGTGCGTATTGGAGACTTCATGGGTTTATCGAAAAGAAACCAAGACAGACTCTGCGAGCTGGGTTTCATTTACAGCGAGTCATGGAATTTCACAGCCGTGCACAAGCTATCAACAGTTGTTGTGACTGACCGAATGTTTCAATTAGAAACAAATTGGTTAATTTTTAAACAATCAGACACGCAGCAGAACGGGCACGTTGCCAGCTCCAACCTGCGGGCATGAAAAGAGTTGTTCTTTTCTCTGGCTGCTCCTTCAGAGGTCAGCACAGACTGAGAGCCTGCTGTTCTTACACACACTGCCCCCCTGACACCACCACAGCTACCGCAGCCTGCTGTGTGGAGAGGAGGGCTGACATCCGGGGCCTTGCTCAAGGGCACAGACCAGGGCAAATAAAGGTGCTTTACCTCACCACCTCCTACACCCCCACACCCCAGGGATTCTGACGATTTAATTACAGGATTTCACTCCACCCACCTTTCCTCACTTTACTGCACTTTTACACTGTTAAAATGGGCACCCATAACAGATCAATTCATTTGTTAACCCTTTGTAATCAGAACTCAATCACTGAATTAGAATTTATAATTAAAATGAGCTCTATATTATAATACATAAATATATACCCAAACGAGGAGACTGAATTTGTCTTTCGAGGTTTATTGCGAAAATAATTATTCAAACATAAAATATGACAAATAGTTTTATAAATAACAAAGTCCATGCTCAATAATCCAGGATTACAATCCAACATTTTTCAGTCAGGTCATCTGGACAGTTTCTTTTTTTGTGCTGAAACGTTTCACCTTCGATCCAGAAGGCTTCATCAGTCAAGGAAACACACAACAAAACTGATTCAAAAAGGTTCAATCTGGTCCTCTGGACATTCAAAAAAACAAAAAACAAAACAAAGCAAAAAAAAAAATTAGAAACGTTTCGTCTCTCATCCGAGAGACTTCCTCAGTCTGAGGTGCTGTTTTCAGCTCAGTCTCTTAAATAGCACCTTCTCAGAGTGGATCAACCAGTTTGCTGCTGACAACCAAAACCAGCTGATCACATGCTCAAGAAGGACCATCAGCCTAAAAATGGATCATTAGCACCCCCGTGACCCAAAATGGAAGAAGCGGGTAAAGATAATAGATGGATGGATGGATGGATGATCTCACAGGCTTCAAAGCTCATCACTGAACCCCTCATGTAGATTGGATGGGCAAACTCTCGTAACACCCTTGAGGACTCTAGTGAGAGCTAATCCAGTGGTCCACGGCCAGGACGGAACCCGCATTGTTCCTCCTGGATCTGAGGTTCAACCAACATTTGGACTTGCTTCTCCAGTACCCTGAATAGGAAATCAGGGCGAATCTTATCCACCCCTGGAGCCCTGCTGACGTGGAGCTTTTTAACTACTTCGGCGACCTCAGCCACGGTTATGGACGGCCCAACCCCAAAGTCCACCCAAATCATCTTCCTCCATGGTAGACATGCCAGTGGGATTGAGAAGGTCTGAGAAGTATTCATTCTACCTCCCGATGACATCACTGGTTGAGGTCAAGAGCACCCCACCTTCACTGAACACAGTGTTAGTAAAGAGCTGTTTCCCCTCCTCAGCTGCTTGATGGTTTGCCAGAATCCCCTTATACAGAGAGTCTTTATCTAAGGTCTCACCGAACTCCTCCCACATCCGAGCTTTTGCCTCAGCAACAGCCAAACCTGCAAACCGCTCGGCCCT